GTGGGATCAGCTTGATGTCGTGTATTATGAGTTGCTCAAACCGAACGAAACCGTTACTGGGGCTCTCTACCGAACACAATTGATGAGATTGAGCCGAGCACTCAAGGAAAAACGCGCCCACTATTACTCCAGGCATGACAAAATTATTCTCTTGCATGATAATGCTCGACCACATGTTGCGGCGCCGGTCAAAACCAACATGGAAACACTCAATTGGGAAGTTCTACTCCACCCGCCGTATTCAGACATTGCCCCTTCCGATTAGCATCTATTTTGATCAATGACGCATAGCCTGTCTGAGCAGCACTTCACATCATATGAAGATACCAAAAATTGGATCGATAATTGGATAGCCTTAAAAGATGAAGCGTTCTTCCAACGCGGTATCCGTATGCTACCAGCAAGATAGGAAAAAGTAGTGGTTAGCGATGGACAATACTTTCAATGAAACATTATGTACCGTTCTTTCACAATAAATGCTTAATTTTTGATAAAAAACGGCGGTAACTTATTTGTACTCCCAATAATTATCTTCATTTATATTCAAATGTAAATAATATGGTATGTTTCTTGGTTATGAAGAAATTATTTCAACAAAAAAAATGAAATAATTAATATAAATTATCATATTTATTTTATTATTATTTTTCCTTTCAAAAGAAGAAACTGTGATCAGGGCACGTAAGAATGTTTTTTGATTTGGGCGTGAGTAGATCGATAATTCAGATTATTTCTATAATTCAGCGACGCACTTTTTATGACATCGCCGCTGTCGGAATATCGCGGAATTAAAATACTGCTCGATTTCATGACTTCACGTCAATTTTACTTGTAATATACAAACGAAATTTTCGGATACTTTTCTCTTATACTAAAGTTCTACCTCGTTTCTAAAATCGTGGGATTGTTCTTTCAGGTTTTCTGCAATTCGCCAGCTACTTTTTACGAACGTGCTAAGTCTGAAACTTATATGCAGCACATATTATGATGTGTTGACTACAGAAGCCGATAACAAAACTGTAAGTCTTCAATTTTCTTTCGTTTTTTCGTATTCAATTGTAGCTGGCGAATTGCGTTGTTGTCGATACTTTAATTGTGGAGAAGGATTTTTCAATCCATAAACACAATTGAGAGAAAAGAGTCTTTAATAATTAATGGTAAAACTGGACCAACATCTCCTTAAAGACGCACGACTTCCATGCGAAGTGATTCTCATCTCACCTCTGATACTTTTTAATGATGAACACAAAGATAGAAATGATCGATGATCTCGACCTTCTTGAGGGTCAAGGGTCTCTCGGATGTCATTTATGGAGCTAATCATATAAACATAAACCTTCAATAGTAATAGCGATTGAATTAAAAAATTAAATAAATATATATAATATATAAAATTACAATAAAAAAAGTATATATAATAAAAAATTAAAAAATTAAAATTTAAAAAATAAATAAAAATATAAAATTACAATAAAATAAACATAATTATTATTATAATTTCTTGTCTCTTTTCGTAGGAATATTATTATATTTCATAAAATTAATTCATGATAATCGTTCCTGTAATCGAACATGTAACTCTGTCGCAATTCTGGACATGTGTATTCGGTTACTGAAATATTTACCTTGATGATATTGATCTGAAATAAACATAGAATATGAAAAGATTCCAGGAAATAAAAATAAAAAATAAAAACGAAAAAACAACAAAAATATAAAAATGACAAAAATTAATAAAAATAATAAAAAGAATAAAAATTAAAAAATTAAAAATACAATTGTAATGCAAGCATTAAGGTAGTCTTTAAAAATAATCTCAACCCTGTTAAAGGCAGAGTGCAATTGTTTTAAACTCATGTGTATGTACAGAAATGTCATCAATGATCAGAGCCTAACAACAACCCGTGCCAAGCGATTGGGCGCGCCAGCAGGATGACGGAGCAACATTGCCTTATTTTCCGAGCTCTTTTTCTTAAACAAATGCGTGTCCCATTATGTCCTTTTAGAGTAACAAAGTGGAGACCTGGGGCTACATTTTGGACTATATTAAAAGAAAATTGAAACTGGTTTTTTAATCGCCGCCATTTTGAAAATTTAAAAACGGACAGAAATTGTCAAAAACGATTTGATTGACAAAAGAGTATTTTCACGTGAAAGAGCGTTAAATTTTTTATAAGAAAATGTCAATATTTCATTTTCAAACTTGCCTTTTGTACTCACTAAAGACAAGCGAAGAAAGCGCTGCGACGAGAAAGCCCAAAAATTGGCAGCGCTACAATTCGGCAACCAGTTAGCCTATGAGTTTATTATTCGGCATAAAGTCTGTTCATCAAACTGTTCAAGCTCAAGTAATATGAACGAAATCCATGAAACTTCACAAAATGGGTGGCTGGCTTGGCATGGAATGCTCCATATGTATGTATAATGTTCTGCATTTATTAATTAGAGATTTCAGAAATCTCTCAGAAACTTTGCATTTGTAATAATGTTGAAAGAATTATACATTACAATGACATTTCAAACATAAGGTTTCAATGAAAACGATTGCAAATATTGCAATTGTAATATTTCAAAGAAGATACTCTCAGAAATATTACATATGTGACGATACACAGTTGAAACATTGAAAGATTGTCTCTGCAACATAATTGAAACTTTCCGTGCTGTCAGGGTAGCCTATTTTCATTTCAATTAACGTGTTCTTTTTTGCTTATGACATCACGATTCACTAAACATAAAACATGCAGGGGATTTCATTTCAGCAACAAACTGTAAATTTGAATTATTACATAAAAATGCTTATAAAATGTTTTGTGAATATAAAATATATTTTCTTTATATGTACTTACATAGCATGAATCTCAAATATCAACAGCTATATTCAGTGCTTCTATATTACAAATCTATTCGCAAAGATATTATTTAAACGTTTCTGCATACACTGAAACATTTCTTGGATCCTAGGTTCTCTAAACGTTTCAGGAATGTTGCAAATGAAATGTCCCATATATAAAAGAGATAGAACATTCTAGGTTATTGATATGTTTTATAGATGTTCCTGAGATATATCGTTACATCACATGCCACAATATGACATTGTTGTAACATTTCTAAAATGTAATTTTGTTTAATGAGGATTCAGTAGGACCGCGGCAATTACATAGGAATCTTAAAATTCGAAACAAAGATAATGTAAAAATTCTGTTGTCACCATATGTAAACTTTTTTTTTCCAACTATACATTCGCACGTCGATCAAACCGATCGCGGTCAAACCGAGCATAAGCAATCAAAAAAAGAGAAGTGCCAACAGAGACTGCGTTCCGATATTCATTGCCAGTATTACTAATACAGAAAATGTATAATATATTATATATAACGTACATTATAGATTTTCAGTACTGGCAGTGAATATTGGAACGCAATCAGAGTTACTGAAACGCAATTTTTGAGACTACGGGCCATCCCGCAGGTCTGGTTCCTCCCCGCAGATATTTACATACATATAATACAGAAGTCTACAATTGGTCGCATACTCATTCCTTCATATATCGTGCTCACACACGCGCACTATATAGTCACCCATTACTGTTGTTAGTATGTAGAAATCTGTGGTGCAACAGCACTGGCGCGGCGCCATATAACTATTACCTTCAGATCTCTCGAAATAATAAAATATTTTGTTGAGATCTCGACGAGAATTTTAAATAATCTCGATTTATGTTAGATCTCGGTCTCGAATCTCGTCTTGTGGGCATCTCTAGAAATAGATATATATGTAGAATAGCATAATATAATATAAAAAAGATTACATTAATAATTTCAAGATTTTTTTATTCAAACAAACTACATTTGAAAATGTGTCATTGATTATTTCTAAATGAGAAATTAATTTACCTTTAACGATCTATAAATAAATAAGCACCTATCGAAAGGAAAACGGCATGAATTTTAGACTTATAGTTTTCGACCCCTGTCGCGTGCGAATGGACTATTTAACAGGAAATAATGAAACTAATAATAGCACATGGAAGCAACTAAAATCACGGAAGAACTCACATTCTGTATGTAAAATTAATGTGAAGCGTTACAAGTCATTTTTATCCATATAGCACACTTTATCTGAGAGTATATTCTTAAGATATGCAAGATTTCTTTAGAATGTTTTTAGGAATTTCCTTTGGAGATTTGTGCTGTATTTAAAGGTAATTAAAGAAATACAATTATAATTTTACAAAATTGAACGCTACGAGAATAGCAAAATCTGCTTTATTTCATATTATTTTTATCAGATCAAATGTATCAAGTTTAGCTGTTGATGTAATTTATTATATTTAAGTAATGTATACAAACAATAAGATAGGAAACAAGACCGATTATGTTAAACAACATTACTTTAAAATCCGAAGCGCCACTACGGTCTGAGTATTAAGATGTTGAACTAATATCTATATTTTCAAACAATTGAATTAATTTCAGAAATAATAATTACGTGCCGATATGGTTGTCGGCATTAATCTGAAATATTAATAATCCCCCCAAATTTCTCAAATTGATCTTAAAAAACTGTAATAAACTTATTGCGAAAAACATTGCCTCGGCCGGGAGTCGAACCCGGATCTCTTGCATTCCGTGCGAGCGTCCTGAGCCTTTAGACTACCGAGACCTTAGCAATAATTCTTCGCAATAATCAATATGTATAGAGAGTAACGCATTTTTTCAGCGCGCGTGTATAAACAATACGGTCTTGTTTCCTATCTTATTGTTTGTATTGTATTAGGTGTTGGAATTAATTCGTAGCGTTTTTAATGAAAGAATGTTATTTATTTCACATGAGCATTAAAAAATACATTAATGAAAGTACTTCCCATCACTTGTAAAACGCTACGAATTAATTCCAACACCTAATACTATTATATATAATATATTTAAAACATGTTTAAGAGTTTTTTGTAAATAGAGTATATAAATTATATATCGTGATTAAATTGATAAATTGATTAATTGAGAAGGAGTCACAAAAGGTATGATATTATAAAGGAAGCTCATTATTAGTATCGTAGAATCAATGAAATAGTAGTCACGTGGATTTTCACGTGGGTTTCTTTCATAAAACGTGTTCGTAGGTTATAGTCAATGCCTAGAGTAGTAACGGATGATGGGTAGTAGTGGTAAGCGTAGCAACAGTCGGAGATAATAGTAGTATTAGTAGTAATAATTGTGGTAAATAACAAGTAAGCAGGCAGGCAGAGAAATTGGCAGAAAGATGATTAGCCCAAACTGGCTGGCTCGCAAGTGGAGGCAACACCGGATGTTGTAGAAGTCGAGTGTAGTGGCGTGCAGTGTGTTGGTTTGCACGCGTTGGATTTTTGCCCCGAACGATCTGTCCAACCAACCAACCAACCGGCCAAGTAAAGTGGAGGGAAAACAAGAAAGAAATCTCACGTAACTGTGGAATTAGGTGTGATATCTTAGGCGTGATTATTTTCTTCTTCTTTCCGGCTATTCTCTCTTCGATTTTTCAGTTTGATTTTTCCTTAAAGAATTTTCCCCTATGTGTGATGTGAATAATGTATCCGTTATCCACTGCACCTAAAAAAAGGTTACAACCATAAAACTGTATTTTTAACTACATTTTTCCATTACTCGTACGCCACTGCTCTTTCACTTTGAGCTTTCCCTTTTTACTAACTATGATCTATATGAATTCAATGAGTCTAAAGATGTGATTTTTATGGAAGTTGTGCTTCAATTTTTTCCACCTTAGTTACGCATCTTATACGTCTAAAATGCATTTAAATATCTATTATTGTATTTATAACATTATTAATAATGAATACAATAGTTTAACATATAAAACATTAAATTAGATGCTGTGATTCTTTATAAAATTAAGTTATCTTGCAGACTACACAGTCACTTTCAATAAACTACTGTATAAACATTCTTATCAAATTTTTGTAATTATTTATATTAATTTTTTATATAATCATGATTTAACTGTGGATTATAAAATTATGTGATTATAATATTACGTTACAATATAAGTGTAATCGTTAATGTAGCTGTATGTAGAGAAGTATTAACTTTTTTTGTATTAACTATTATAAATAATAAATTATCATTTAATCAGCATTATATTCACGTGTAATAGCTTATGATCTTTTGAGTCCTTGATCCTTTGAATAATGATCAGAATTTCCTCAACATCGTATTTTCAATTAATCTTTCTAATCAAATTGTATTTCTGATCATTTGCAGTTGATAAAACGATAAAATACCATTTCTCTCTTAAAGTTTGATCAATGCACATATAATGATAGGCTTACAAGATACGTAATATGCATATGTCCTTAAAAACTGCGTTCGTACATTTTAGACTTCGGAGTCTCGTTGAACGCGCGCATATCCCGCGAGAATCAATATCCGCGCGTCTCTCAGCCTTTCCCCTACACCCCTGTCTTTCCCAGCCTCTCATCGACCATCTCTCGCTCTCCCGTTCCCTCTTTCCTCCTGTACATAGATTTATCCTCTCACTCATACATTCTCACGGGTGCTTCTTCGGTACTATACACTGTATATTATTCCTTACGTAAAGTGGAGTGGAGTAAAACCGAGAGGAGCGGAATGGAGTACTGCTGCCGTCCGCCTCTGATGTGATTTTGAGAAAGGGAGAGCAGAATACAGTTGCCTACTTTCCTTCTATGTCACTTCTACATCTCTTTCTACTATCCTCTCAGTCTCTCCACGCTAGACTCGATTCCTCTTGCTCCCCACTACCATCTTCCTTTCTTCCACCACGTCAACCTCTCCTTCGTTTCTCTATCCCGGCAGCTACGTCTCTCTCAAGTCCACACACAACTACAAAACATTCAATTTGAACGTAAAGTTAAAACGAAATGGATTTTCCAGCGTGAATACAGTCGCTATCAAAAGTCCACTCTTCTCCGACAATTATACAATTCGTGTTATCAGGAAAAAAAGAACGAAAAAGAATTCACATTTTTATGTACTATATGATGTACTATACTATATGATTTCATATATTATGTAATCGAAATCTGTCTTCATTCTCGTCTTAATTCTTTAAGGAGCTTATTTTTTCTAACTGATTCCTATAAAATCTTGCAATTCCATATTTTTCACGGATGATGAATCTAAAATAAAATTTCAAAAATTCAAAATGGCAGATCTAATATGACTGCTATACAGGAGTAAATTAGTGCGAATCTAAACGAATATGACTTCCACGACAAATCTAAATAAATACGACTTACATGAATCAATAATACGATACAATGTGAATAGATGCATAAAATATAATTTATATTATTAATTTTTTTAAATTGTTTCAAAACATTAATATTAATTAATATAAGACCATTATTGTATTTTATTAAATACTTGAATATTAAGTTATTACTTTTTCACGATAATCATTTGTTAAAAATATTTCATGTAATACCTAATATGACATACTTGTTCGAGTGGTCTTCGAGACGATTTTAATAATTTTTTCAAAGAGCCTAGATAATTTTCAAATAAAAAACAAAAATAATTATCTAAAGATTCATATATTTCTGCATCATTTGTTAAATGACAAAATATGAACATTATAGAAACTTAGAACCATAAATTTTCTCTGCATGATTAATAAAAGTTTCAAGTAATTTCTAAGTTAATGATAAGTCTAAATTATTAATACTATTTTTTAAAAGCAGGATAGACATGGCTGATTGAAAAAAACAAAAAATATTCACAAATTGCTATGTCAAGTACACCTTTCAAAACAACAGATCCTAAGTAAATTAAGGAACTTCTGAATTCAGTTGCTCTTCATTTACACAATTTTGTTAAACTTTGTGGTTTCCGAATTCAGAAGGCATAAATGAATTAAAGGTCATTAAATTTTTAGATACCAAATCAATTAAACAATATCATCTGACATTACCCTACCACTTGTATGTAATAGTTTTTTTGAAACACCTAAACACACTGCATGCATATAATCAAGTGGAAACTGTGTTATCATTCCACATTTTAATTGAAGAAGAGGTGAAATATCAATATGATGGTCTCCATCTCATTGTAAAGAAATGACTTATCTTTTCTTTTTATTGCATTAGTACCTCTCAGAATAGTACGTTCCTCGAAATGTTCACCATCTTCTTCACATCTTTCACAGCAAGAATAATCATTATAATTTTTTATTTGTTTTATGTAAGGACAAGAGCGCTCGGACAAGAGCATCACATATAAAACTATAAATCCTTATGTTAAAGTACTTATCATTTATCTTAAGTCCATTTTAACAAAAAAGAAAGTTCTTATAAAATTTTTTAAATATAGACGTAAAGAATATGATTCAAATTGGCTGTAAAAAACTCCTATGACAAATGAAGGCATTTACATATTTTTTATAAAACCTAAAATTGGCCATAAATATTTATTTATGCTATTAAATAAAGAAAGACCGTCAATATTAAAACTGAGCTCAATAGTACTTCCAACATAAAATTTAAAAATATGCTGTAAATTTTGTATCAAATATGACAATATTCTTCAATATCTAATTTCTTTTTATTAATAACAACTGAAGTTTGTAACAAAGTTCTAAGAGAAAACTCAGGGTAAAAATCATGTAAAATATGCAAAAGATTAACGCTGAGTGAATTATATTATGTTTTACAACGGCCCAATACTTTATCAGTTCAGAAAGATTAGAATGGGATGTGCTTTCATCTTCTATGTCATTAATTGCATTTTCAAAACCACAACTTAAAAGTAAGGAAGATTGATTTTCAATATGCTCATTATCTGAAGAGATTGTGTCATATAGTATTATCAAACATTATTTGTCGATAGTATTATCAAACATTATTTCTTTATTTGTATCATAATCTTGTTTTATTTCTTTATGCTTAACATTTTTTGCTTGATGTGGTCCTGAGAATTAGACACAATCAATTCCTTCAACAAATTTACCTTTTCATTAGCAATTCTTTGATATAGTTATCGCTTTCCAACGCAAGACTTTCTATATAACATTACAGACATGATAGAATTAATCTTTTTTTTTGTTTTTTACACGTTGAGAAGTGTGTTTTAACCAGACTTTTATTGAATCTTTAGCGTGATTAACCTCTGGTGTCCTAATTTTAACTACGTCTGGAAGCAAATTAATATGCTAGATATCATAGATGTAATTATTTAGAAGCTATCCATAAAATTTTATTTAATTTAACAATATTGTTCATTTTATTATTAATTATTAAAAATTTTTTCCATATTCAAATATTTAAGAAATAACTTACTTATAATGATATTTTTCATCAATAAAGTAAAAAAAGGTTTCTTATCTAATCGTTTTCCATAAAAGCTGCATTTTCGGCACAAATCATCGACAAAAATTCAAGAATTTTTTAAATCGCATTTTTTATATGATCTGAATGTTTGACCACTTTTAAAATAATTTAGCAGCTAAATTTTATCATAAATTATATCCAGTATTTTTTTTTAATTTTTAGATTTGGTGGAACATACCGAAAAAAAATTAAAACCGTTTTTTCATCATTTTTCGATCTAAATTATATTAGTTGACATATTTTAAATTGTTTTTAAATATAATTGTACTTATCATCAATCCCAATTCTGTAGACAATAGTTTAAAACTTCAATATTATAGACTTTGCGTAGGTTAAGTCTCATTAAACAACGAGAGAATTCTATTTTTCCTTCTTCAGAAAAATAAATTTAACTAATTTCAACATTTATTCCATTTTTTTTAAAACAAAGATTTCCAATTTCTAACTTTGTTAACATAAACATGATAAACTTATTTTACTCTAATATGATGTCAAGAGATTTCAGGTTTTTGATCTACAAAGCTATTTAATTCAAAATTCGTTTCATGTTTATAATATTACGAAATTAATTTTATATTTTCTATATCACTTTATAAAATTATACTTATATATTATATAATAATACTTATATATAAATAAAAATACTATTTTTAAGAAATTAAAGAAATAATTATAAATACACGATGTGCAGAATTTATTTCTTTATAATTATTATTTTATACGAAATAATATATACTTTTCAACATTTCTGCTGGCCTTACTATTTAAGAAATATAAATATTTTGCGTGTGTCAAATAATACATAATTGCTGCAACATGTGAGCAACATCTAATCATTCTTTGTCCATGTGCACATTCACATGTGTTAGAGCATGAATTTGTATATTGCCGTAGAGAGAGGAGAAAATGGGCTAAAGAATTCGTTCACCTTGTTTCTTCGTACATTGCCTTTATTATTATTTAAAAAAGTGTCTCTGTACCGCACTTTCCATGTCTACCAACAATTTAAAGCTAACGCAAAAATAAAAACGCTATTGCACTCATTCATGATGGCCATAACATCTAGCGTTATCATAGATGCGGCGGGAAACATAAACGGCGAGAGGAGCGCGCTAACAATTTTCCCCTCTTGGAAAGGGCATCTTTACAATAGAAAATAAATCATAAATGAGATGTACTTCTAGTAGCCCGTATGTAACTATGGAGCAGAAACTAAATGTGAGCTTAAGCGCTATATAAATATGGGAGATGTAAAACTCAAAGATAAGTAACAGACTTGTTAGCGCAATGGACATGAATCACGGCTAACGCACGAACAATTACACAGACGCGTTCTCTTCTAATGGCAAAATACAAATTTTAGGCAGAGTTCGTTTAATTAATCCCCGTTAGTGAGTATGGTCACTAGACGAATAACTCCGTCCGATCCTGGATGAACCTCAGTGATACGGCCTAATGGCCATGCCAACAGCGGAGTAGCATTTTCTTTTACAAGCACTAGAGTGCCCTTTCTAAGTTTTAAGTTATTACGAGCTTTCCATTTAGGGCGCTGTTGTAATTGTGACATATACTCCTGTGATCATCGCTTCCAGAAGTGCTGTCTCATTTATGTAAGTAATTGATATCTCGTTAAGTTAATTCAAAAATACGTTAGTAAAATCGAGTTTTGGTATCGCATTAATTGCTTTACCAATAAGGAAGTGACCTGCAGTCAACGTTGAAGATCAATCGGACTGCTGGACAAGGATGTGATGGACTTTGAAGGATGTGATGGGCTTTAAGCACGCTTCTATCTGTGTTAAGATTGTGTATAATTCCTCAAAATGTAATACGCTTGTGCCGACGATTTTTCTTACATGCGCCTTAGTTGATTTCACAGCGGCTTCCTAGAGCCCTCCTACATGCGGTGAGTAAAGTGGAAAGAACTTCAATCTATGAATTGTTCAGCTAAGTCGCGTATTTGTTGCTGCGTAATCTCCTTAAGGAGGCATTCTTTTAATTCAGCTAACTGATTGTTAACTGAATTAGCTCCTACAAAGATGATGCCATTGTCAGAATATAATATGGCACATTTTCCTCTCCGCGAATCGTTTGCATTGAGAAAAGCCGTAGTGGTTAAATCGGATACTATTTCCAAGTGAACAGCTTTTGTCGCTACACATATAAAGATAGCTAAATCGCCTTACGGTTTTATTGCGCGATGTTTTAATAGTGAAGGAAGCAACATAATCGATACCTGTATTGAAGAATGCCCTAGCTTGCGTTACTCGAATTGCTGGTCTGTCTCCCATTAGTTGAGTTATATTAGTCGGTTTCATACAAAAGCATACGATACATTTTGTCAATACCCGACGCACTTTGCCTTTTCTCGCTGGTAAAAAATTGATAAAAAATTGTTATTCAAAATTGATAGCACCGCCTGAGGACCTGCGTGATACAAATTTTTGTAATGTGTACGTCTCTTATTATTAACTCAGAGAT